AATTTAATTAATAACATGACCATAGTAATTACCAAGTTTAGATTAATGCGTAGTATAAGTTAATAGTAATAAGTGTAAATAACATAAAATTATGAGGCTTTCATAGGTAACAAATACTCTAAAGTATGCCATAAATTATATTGATTGTTGCCTCATTTAGTAGTCATGTATTTATTTGGTCATGTAATTTATAACTAGTTACATATGAGTATGTCACAAATTAAATTTAGGACTTCATATTTCATACGTAGTATATTATTATATAACAAAACTGAATTGATCATAATATTAATAAACATATATATTTACAAATATGAAAACTTCACCTTTTCAAATAAATAAACTTAATATTTCATAATTAACTTAATTCAAATTCATTAGTCAATTTATCGACACCTTTTAGAATGAAAAGGTAAAAACAATATGAGAACCTACTACTTCACGCTTTAATAAAAACATACCTGAATTGATAGAATCAACTTTACTATCGGATTAATTAAATCAATATATTGCCTGGTAAAGCTTAATTAGAAAATAGAAACAAGCATATAAGCAATCAACATTAACACATTCACGTTAGTGGCAAACCACATGTTCCATATCATACTTGAAATTTAAAATTATGCATTGATGGGTGTCATAAATGGCACCCATTTGATGAGAATTTAAGTCGTTTTTACCTTCTTTTCATGGCTTTCTTGCTCAATAAATTTTAGTTTTATGCTTTTGCTCTTTGTTTTACCTTTTACTCTTATTTTGTGGTTTTGTGCATTTTGATAGTTTTTCTAGTCTTTTCTCCTTTATTTGCTTTCTTTTCGTGATTGTAGGTATTATAAGAGGTTCAGGTCTTAATATGGATGGATTACTAAGGTGGAATATGCTTTTAGAGCAAGCTCATGGCAATTGGAAAGCTCAAGATGCAAGAAAGTGATTCTCCAAGTTCTAGCTCTTGCGCTCTCAAGTCGTGCTCTCATAAAGATGGGGTGTTGAACCCACAATCAAGTGCTTTTGGGACTACCTCTCTTAGTGTTCATCATCATCATAATCGTGCGACCTTAGCGAACGCACAAAGCCGCAAAAAGATCGAAGAAAACCGGAAAGACGCGGGCGCGCCACCCCTGCAGCGCGGGCGCGCCTTCCTGGGTATATGCTTAGCTTAGTTGAGGGCTTCTCTCTCTAGTTTAAGGGTTAGTTTAGGAGTAGATTTTAGAGAGAGAAAATGAGGAATTTCAATGGTGATTGGGAGATTGAAGATTCAATGGTGACAATTGTGTTGGAGAACTTCTCTATTATCAATGAGCATTCTTAACTCTATCTCATTTTATTAGTTTGTTTAATATTCAAGTTTGTTTGATTTTATTTTGATGTTTGATTGTTGATTAGTGTAACTTCTTATATTGTTGATTCTTGATTTCTTTAGTTGTTTGTTGATTAGATAATGATGTTGGAGTAGTTGTTTGATAGGGATTGGGTGAAACTTGTATGATTGATTAATTGTGCTTAATTTGGGGATTGTGTTGATTAATTATTGAGATTAAATTGATTAATGGAAGTTTGCATGTGTGTAATTCGATTAGGCTTTGAGAATTATGCTAAATTGCATTGTAGTTTCTAATGATACGGACCATTGATTTAGGAATTTCAATTGTCAATTGAGCTTGATTAGTGATGCTCCTAGTTAGAGTCTCTATTAGTTGGCGCTAGTTTGACTTCTAGGAGATAGCTTGTTGACTCTTTTGATTGAGCTTGCCATTAGTCTTCACAACCATTGATTTGCATGTTGTTCCCAAGTTGCTACAATTGTCATGATTACTTGTTGATCCTCGTTCCTAGTGTTTATTTGTTTGGTTCTTCATTTTGTTAGTTGGTTATAGTGCTTTCCTTTTATCCTTAGACTTCGACCTAGCTTAGGCACATAATTGAGAGCGCTTGAACATTATCGTTCCTTTGGGTTCGGCCCTTGACTTGCCTCTATACTAGTATATAGGTTTGTTAAGTGTTTATAAACTTAGTTTGATCGAGGGAGGATTAGTTTCAACGACCTAGTTCCACCCCTCGTCAAAATGGCGTCGTTGCTGGGAGCAGTGTCTATGTTTGAGTGTTTTTGATTGCTTGAGTCTAGGTCTTTGTATATACTTTTTTTTATTTGATTTTTGTTTGTTTTGTGAAAAAAAATGGCATGTCTATCATTTCCTCAATTTGACAATGAGACTTTTTGTAAATATTTCCATAAACTTGAGAGATTTCTTGACTATAATCGTTGTAGTCTTTGGGAGGCTTGTGAGATTTGTTATTTTGGTTTGAATGAACAAACTAGGAATGAAGTTTAATGCATGCATAATGGTAGATTTAAAGCATTGTCAATTGACGAGTCTTGGGATTTTTATGTTTGGTTTGCTAAGGATGTTTATAATAGGGGTATTCATGATTCTAATATTGATGTGCAATGTCTTGATTCTTCTTATATTAGCATGAATTCTCATGAATTGTCAAATGATCCCATGAGTCATCCTAAAACAAGTGTTTTTTTATTCTATTTCCCCTTTTGTTCATGATGATGAGGTACAAGCTCAAGTGGATGCTAATTACTACTAGAAATTCCGTGGTTTTTGGACGCTTTTGAAAGCTTATTTTAGACATAAAAAAGCGTCGAAAAATATTTAAAAGGTGAGTCGAGAATTTGATGGACGCCAAAAACCGTCGTAATTCTCAACACTTTTTATTGTCTAAATTTTTATACGAAGTGTCGTAAATAGTATTAGGTCACGCACTTTCTCAGATTTGGCGAAGCTTTTTTGTGTCTATTGTCACAAAATTGGCGACACTTTTTTGTGTCCCTAGTTTCACATACTCGATAACCTAAATATTGTCGACGCTTTTTTCTATCCCCTTATTTTCAAATATGGCGATGCTATTTCTAGTCCCTATTCTTTATAAATATATCTATTGAGGACAATATTTTTAGCAAAAATAAAATATAATTCAATAGCAAATATACACTATCAAAGATTTAACAAATCAAAAGAAAAGTTTACTCAAATTCAATTTTATTCATAATCAAAGAAGAGTACAACTTAGCCCATGTACAATTTATAGTGCCAAAAACCAATTTATTCTAACTTTATTGATCTAAGCTAGAATGATAAAAGAAAAGTACAAAAAAAAATTATGTATAACACATAATATCTTATACAGCTAAAATTAAATAAAAAAATTTAACTGCAATTCTCCACTTATATCGAAAAATTGCAGCTTCTCACAATTGATTTTGGTACTACTAAAATGTCTTCATAGAACCACTTGATTAATAACTTTGACGTACACTGGGACATGTAAAATAATCACAGCAATATCCTGCATCAATAACAAGCATGTCAAAACTAGTACCTTACTACCTTTACCTTTTCGGTGTGTGTTCAATAGAGAACTTGTTTGTTTTTGAAGCTGTGGAAGGTATAGCGAGCTTATACATATGAGTGTGTATATGTTTAGGAACATAAATTGATTATCAGAAATATACAACTTTTATAATAATAGGATTGGAATTTATATGAAACAATTATTACTGGTTAGGATTAAAAACATGTGAGGAACCCAGGTAAGCAGCCAACTCTTGTTATTTTGACCTCTTACTGAAAAAAAAATTCCTTTTGCTCTTTACACCTCTTGTTGATAAAATTCTTGCCTCAGTATAAAATGTAATGACCAAACGAATCCTTCCCCTATTGCTAGTCACTTAATAGTTAATATTCAGTAAAGCACAAAAATCAAGCATTTGTTTACAATGCAAGAACACAACCATACTTCTTTAAGCTAATATATTATAATAAACTGGAGGAAAAATAGACTAAAAGAAATACAAAAAGCCAGAGTATTCAATACAGCAAACCTACCAAACTCAACACAACAACCCAAACGAGCGTCAAGTAAAAAAATAGCCCCACTAAAATATAATTAAGGCAGCAGACCACAGAAATTTCCAAAAGGCATTTCCTAGCACAAAATTCGAAATTGAGAAATTCTTGATCCTAGATTAGAGACTTTTTGAGATCTATAATTTTCATGAAGGGACTAGGGGCCAAAAACAACTGCAGGCCTTTGCCTTCAGAGTTGCTGCCCTTCTTAAACCAGAATGTTAACAAGAAATTAGTGTTTTAAAACAACTGTTATATTCTACAACTTCTACAGCAATATAGCAAATGGATTTCACATGTTGTACACATTTAATTAAGGTTTCATAAAATTTTAATCAATGTTGCATATGGAGCAAGACGGAGTCCAATAATATCCAGGTAATTTTAACTTTCAAGAAAAATTGAAGATCCAAGAAACCAATAGTCCAATATTAGCATGAAAAGACAACTTGTGAGGGAAAAATTACTGATAGGTTGTCGTACACATGTCAAAAATAAATTCATAACAAAACCAACTAACAATGTAGAAGGGTAAGTAGGGTCGAATCCACAGGGAGATGGTATTCAATATAACCTCTAAGAAATTGGAGAAACTAAACTATGTCATGAAATTGGGATAAGAAAGTAGTCTAAATTAAAATAGGAATAAAACAATTGATAAAAGGACCTAGGGTTGTGGTTCACCATGCTTATAGTTCTAAATCTATCAAATATCAATAACAATTCAATCAATCAATTATCTAGAACAATTGCTAAGCCTACGGTCGGGTCTTAACGCTCTCAATTCAACATATGTAGTTCGGTCGCTAACATAATCAGAATTGCTAATTGTAGATAAGCCTCTAAAAGTAAGATCTTTCAATTCAAACTCTTATTAACAAAAATTAATCAAACAATTGATCAGGTTGCAAGATTAACAATAAAACATTATCAATTAGAGAAATCAATAATCAAAATATTAAAATTATCAATCAAGATTCATAATATAAACATAGATTCCCAAACCCTAGAAATAAAACTACTCAAACATGGAAGAAATAATAAAAACTAGATCTAAGAAATAAAACATAATTAAAAGCAAGAAAATAGAAATAAAATACCTCAATGAATTAAAATAGTAAACCCAAGAATCATCCATGGAAGAATCCATGGAGATGCCATGAGAAACTAGGGTCCAAGAGAAAACTCAAAAGAACGTAAAAATAATAAAAGATATATAAGCATAAGGGAAAAATAAAATCCCTTGGAGTATTTATATTATCCTAAAACTAATCTAAAGATAAATAAATAAAATAAAATCAGAAAAATAGCAATTACAATAGTCGTGATATGATTGGTCGATTGAAAGAGTTATAATCGATGTAGGATTTCTTGTGGCTTGCGCGCACACCCCACCCATCAGGCAATGGGTGGCCGATGGTCGGAAAGACGCTCGACCATCGGGCGATGGAAAACCATCGCCCCAACCAGCAGCCCACGCTCGAGCGTACATCACGTCCATCGCCCGATGACTGGGCGATGGGTTGGCAGCTTCGCAAGCTTGACTTCAAAGGGCCGTATCTCACGTTCTAGGTACCTTATAGGGGCGTGTGACCTATCAATGGAAAGCTCTTCAACTCTAGTTTCCAACGCAATTTGAATCACTTCAATCCGATCTGTAGAACTCAAGTAATGATCAAAAGAGTGGATAAGAGTTAGTTTTACCACTTTGTAAAACATCGTTTAATTTCGTTTCTAACTCAAATTCAATTCCGAAAAGTGCATAACGATCATTGTGGATGCTATTTTCATTTCTCATGCATAAAATCCTCATAGTCGACATCCACGAACATGAGATCTTCGATTAATAAACTCAATTCATCGACTTTTCATCCTTTCATTGTCCGATTCTTCCAAAACCACTCCGAAAGCGTTCAAATAGCTATAGAAACTACCTGAAACATTAAGAAAACACAAACGAAGCGTAATAGAATACAAAATGGACAACTTATGCAATTTCAACCTAAAAAGCGACAGAAGACTCAAAAAGCAACAATAAAACTAGCATAAACGTGCCTATAAACTCTATATAAATATGACTCATCAATTACCCAAGAGAGAATTAGCAGAGAATAGGCCTGACAACAAAAAAAAAAAAAAAAAAAAAAAAAAAAAAAAAAGTATACTGAAACCAGCTTTTAATATCAAAGACCAAACTTTTCACACAAAATATTAATTAAAATTACCTAATTGACAAATGTGCCGAGATAGACATCCTTCTAAATTATCCATTCTATTATAAAACAGAACTTTAATAGTGACAACATAGACTGACATTCTTTATATTAAATATACACAGACACTCAAAGGTTAGGCCCACACAAAATTTTTTCAACATATACCTCTAGCAAAACAGTCTCCAAAATCAGTTGAAGAGTACAAATTATAATGGTGTGTTACAAAGTTCAATTTAAGCTAGCTCATTGTAACTTCAGAGTATAACTCAACAATCAAACGAACATTTTCTCTCATATTTATATTAATATTAAAACATGGAACTAACTACGTACAAAGCTATAACTGATGGAGTGATAAGAATAGGATAAAATTAACATTAAACCCAATGAATTAGAGAAAGCTTTTTTTCTCAGCTATGAAGCATAAAAAGTTATCAAGAGCTTAAGCTAATTTGTACTTGATTTAATAGGCATTGGCTCTTTCAACAAAAAGATCAGTAAATTTTTTCTAAAATAATTAACAATAATAAAATGCTAGAGCTTACAGAAAAACAAAATTAAGATGAGTAACACCAATTACAAAACAGTGAGAAATGACAATTGACAATAAATTGATTAAAAACACAAAGTACAACCATCATGAATGAATAGAACCCAGGCTATGAAGGTTAGTCATATCCGCCTCTATGTCACTAATGCTACAAAAATTCACCAGTAATCAGTAGAAAATACTTTAGAGCGTAGCTTAATAAATGGATAATATTCATGTCAAATTCTGGTTATATATAAATAAATTAGCTGTTTTATGTGAGACCTTATTTATCGACATCTAAAAGTAATGTTTTTTTAAAACTCTAATAAGCGAAAAATTTCAATGTCAATTTTTTTCAAACCGTAATGAAATAGAGCTAAACAAATGAAATTTGCAATCTACTAATGTATAAAAAAAGTTATCTAGAAACTACGAGATTTAATTTAAGAATAGAAATTCAACAAGATCTATAACCTAGGGTTTTGAAACAAGTAAAATTGGGTAATTGCAACTTGCAAGTATTAAAACTTAAAAGAGAAGAATATACCTTTTATTGTTTAGATTTTCGAAAGAATTGAGATAGGTAACTGGAAAAATCATCAAAAAAATTTCCCCCAATTTGTAATTGATCTGGAAGCAGAAAGATGAAAGAAAAAAAAAAGAATGGAAGCGAAAATCAAAGAAAAATTATAGCAAAAAAATCAAAGAAAAAGCTGATGCGAATATGCGATGATAGAAATATACTAGTAGTAGTACAGAAATTCGAATGATTTATTAGCAAAATGACAATATGCAACAAAATTATGATAAAGATCAAGAAGATATTAGCAACGAGTAGAGGAAGGAAATTACCACAACTATAGCCCACTTTGCTGAATTTTTATCAGGTTTTGGGAGGCAAATTTAGCAAATTGAAGAAATTCTAGCGAAAATGACGAGTGCTCTGTAATTAGGTTTAGGTTTAGGTTTATGGAGGAATATTTGCGCTGAGGGAGTGGTGTACAGTAAGTAAGTTTTGCCGCATATCTTTTATTAATTGAAGTCATATGTGGATCACATGAATTTCTAAACGCCCCGAGACTTTACTTCGACTGCCTATAATCTACGGAATCTAAATTTTTATATTGACGCCTACTACACTGTGTCGATCTAATAGTGTCAAAAAAAATAAGGGATTTGAAGTAGTGTGGTGTGTTTAAATTTTCTTCATTATTTGCCATGTCTTCTTGTGATGTAGTTCATTCCCTTAATAACGAATCTTATATGCTTGATTGTGCCCCCTCTCCCCTATTTAACGAAAATGCTCTTGATTTTAATGTCCATGGTCTTACCCTTGATTGTGAATCTTCTTTTACTATTGATCTACCCTCTTTGCCTTTTCATTCCCCCAAACACTTGTGATGAGTCCCTAGTCCCCTGTAGCCAAATTGATGAATCTTTGAGAGAATTAGAGATGAATCCTAATCTTAGGCCCTTAGAGAGACAAATTATGGAAAATTTAAGGAGCCAATTGGAGATGATTAGAGAGGATGAGGATCTTTTTAATGATAAAAAATATTGTGTAGAATGGACTCATGTGAGTCCGTTCTTTTAACAGGCCCGCGCGCGGCCTGTTTTTTAATAGTTCGGTCCGCGCGCGGCCCGACTCATAAATATCACTGATTTTTTTATTTTTAAAAAAAAAAAAACCAAAATTCTTCCAACGTTCCACCTTTCTCCTTCTTCTTCTTCCCCACGTTTTCTGCAGTTACACTCCATTACTATCAACTTACCTACATTTTCCCTAAAATTTCGCATCTCTTCTTCATTTTCTAGCTTATATTTTACTTGCATGTACTTAAATTTTATTTTTTTTACATAAACCCTAATTTTCGTCTTACTCAACTACATTAATGGCTGATCTTCCTCCTCTTTAAGATTCTTCTCCTTTAAAAGTTTATATGAAACGAACTAAACGATCATCAAAACAGCCTCCGAAGATAGTTGAAATGGCTGAAAGGTTAATAAATTTCTTAGTTATTTTTAGGTTATACTTTTTTTTAAAAAAATTGTCAGTCATTTATTTTTTCGTTCTTGTTCTTGTTCTGTAGGGATGATTCACAGCATCCAAAGAAGTGTGGTCCTAAACAAGGTTCTAAACGAAGTCGATCTGTGAGGTGTGATATTCGAAATGAATTCTTTTAAATTCGGAAAAAATCTTGTTTGTATATTCAGATGCACGCCAGGTGTTCGATAAAATGCAAATTGTTGTTTTTACTTGGAATATTCTTGTGTAGAATTAGGTTATTGTTGATGTAATTACATTTGTTGTAATTTTGATGATACGTTATTATTGTGAGTATTGACTATTATATAGTCAGGAATTATATTTTTTATATCAGAAATAAGCATTTTATTATATTATCTTTAATTGTATTATTTTATTTTGATAATAGTATATGTTTGTCACGATTTAGATGATTTTCATCAAAAATTAAGTTCTTGTTGTCTGTATTGAAATTACTTCATTAATGAATAATTTATGTTATTTTTGATAAATGTTTATGTTTGTCAGGATTTAGATGATTTCCATCAGACATTAACTTTTTGTTGTCAGTATTTTAATTACTTCATTAATGGATAATGTATTTTCAATCAGTATTAAGCTTATTTTGGTCAGAATTTAAGTTAATTTTGTCAAGAAAAAGATAAGTAGTCTCATAAATAAGATTGCTTTTATCAGGGATAACATATTATTGTCAGAAAAAATATAATTATGCTCAGAAATAAGATTATTTAAATTAGGTCTAAGATATTTGTCATTACATTTTATATTGCTTTCATCAGGTTTAACATTATGCCTGTCAGGAAAAAGATAATTATGCTAAGAAATAAGTTTACTATCATCAGGGATAACATAATTATTATCAGGAATAAGTTTTTCTTAATCATATTTTTTATTTTTCAGTGCTCTTACTGAAGATGATATTTCAGACCTTGAAATTGGTACTAAATCTGGTCCTAGTTATCTTTGTATAATTATGGAAATTTTAGTGATGAGCAAAAGAAGGATGTAATAGAGATTGGTTTTGGTGGATTCCTTCATATGAATTTGCAGGAAAATATCAGTCATCAGTTGTACAACTATATAGTAACTCAATATAATCCTCATGCTAGAAATCTTATTGTTGGTAAAAAGGAACATGCAATTCATATTGATAGTTCTGATATTGCTGATGTGTTGGGTATTTTTTTTTACTGATATACCAGTGAAAGAGATTTCTAAAAACAAGAAATCAATCAATCCTGATGAATGTTTGAAGATAGAGTGGAGGAGGTTTTTGGGTTGGATATAGAGGATGACTCTAAACAAGGAAATGAAGCTGAAGCACAAAAGCAAAAGAAGAGGAAAACAAAAGAAAAAGTTGTTCCAAGTAAGAAGGATTCTGAAAAAGAGGTTCAGGGTAAGAAGAAGAAGAAGAAGACATATGTCAACATTCTTACTTATAAAATGCTGTTTGAGAAATATAGACATGGTGGTCCTGAATTTAAAAAGTTGTTTGTTATGTTTGCTGTGTCTACATTCCTGGCTCCAATTGGTGATAAGTCTCCTAATTTTAATATCATAAAGTCTTTAGAAGATGTGCATTTCATTAAGTCCTTCAACTGGGTTGGTTATGTTATGGACTTCTTATGTGGGTCAATAGCAGATTTTCAAGCCTTTGTTTTGAAAAAAAAGGAAGGAAAGGAGTTGAAAACAAAATCTAAACAAGTAAATGGCTGTCTAGTTGCTTTTGTAATTGCATTTCTACAAAAGTTTGAGTTTGGGACAACTTTACATCGCAAGCCGTTTATTTTGAACTGGAGTTGTGAGAGTTTGAATGAGAGGATTAAGTCTGTTGCAGAAAATATGGATTATGGTACTGTGAAACTGTACCCTGCTGCCATACCAAAACAATATGATGGCAAATCTGAACAGGCTCTTCTAAAAACTTTAAGGCTGGACAACATTGAATTTAAGATTGAAGATAGTGATGAAGATGAACATTTGGTTGAAAAGCAAGTTCAAAAGAAGGAAGAAAAGAATGAAGATTAGGTTTTACAATCTACTAGCTTTGAATTGAAGGATAAAGATGACAAAGCTAGATATGTAATGTATAATATTCCTAAAGAGTATCCTACTGGTGCTGAGATTGATAATATGGATATCGATGTATGTTTAAAATTCTATCTTTTTATTATATTTTTAGATTTTGTATAATTTGCTTTTATCAGAATCAATATTAATATTGTCAGTTAGAAATTAGATTACTATTATCAGCAATAAGAAATTGTTAGTCAGGAATATGGTAATTTTGGTCAGGAAATGAAATTAATATATTAAGGTTATTGTTGATTTATTTACATTGCTGTAATTTAATAATACATTATTGTTGTTTCGGGGTTTTCTGATTTCCTGCGGGAGAGTTACAATTCCGAGACTGGAACCTGACGCCTGTACCTGCAAAACAAACGGATACTTCGGATGATTGGAGATCCGCCTCCGACGGTCAAGTTAGTACTTGATTAAGGAGTAATTAATGCGGAAATTAAAGTGATTGGGTCTCTATAGGTGAGAGTGTTTAATGTGTGTAATCTGCGTTCCCTCCCTTAATGAGGATTAAGGGAGGTATTTATAACCTCGGGAAACGTGACAATCTAGGTTTAGGTTAACCTTGGGCTGATTGGGCTTCCCTCGGAAGTTGGGCCTAGGTGACCGGCTTCTCCATTAGGCATGGAGTATGCCACGTGTCATGACATAATAAGTCCAGGGTGGACGAATAAGCGTGTGCCACGTGGCAAGCCCTGAGAGGTCCAATTGGGGGAAACTTGGCAGGACCTGATTGGCCCACGTGGCGCATTCAGATTGGTGGGAGCAAAATCCCCTAATCATTTGCCCCTCACAGGTGGCACGTGACTGGTCACGTGTTACCTGTGACAGGTATCGCCTTGTAACAGGCGACGGCCTGCTACAGGTGTCACTCGGCGAGAGGCCGAGAGATTCTCCCGCCAAAATTTTGAATTCTGGAAGTGACCCTTCGCCTTCTCACTTTGCCTATATAAAGGAGTGTTGACTTCGGTCATTTTCACACTTGAAAACTTTGTGAGAGAACATTCGGACCCCTGAACTTGCTCTGACATTTTGGACCCTTTCTGCCTACCGCCTGCTCTGACAAGCCGACTGCAAAGGATTTTCAGAACTTCATCAATCGTCACTCGTTCAGGTAACCGTCGGTTTTCTTACTCTTAATTTTCTCTTTACTTTATTCTTTTTTGAAATGGCACCACGGAAGCACACGACACGACCTAGGTTAGTGATCAGCCGGTCACCGGGGACGGCTGAATCTAGGACTAGGAGTGCCGCCTGCCCTTTTCTGGACCCATCTTTGCCCTTTATTCAAAGTCCGACTGTATCTGTGTCTATGCAGAGCATGATGGCCAGAACAAAAAAGACTGCCAGGATCTCAAACTCAGACGGCTCCTCCCACAGGGTGCCGATTAGTGAAACATCTGACCAGGCGCCAGATGTGGAAGTGAAACAAAGCGGCTTGAAAGCCGGCAGTTCTGAGGGAGGAGTCAAAGTGACCCCTTCCCATTTTACAGTTGACAATTCTACATTCTCTCCTGCTCCTTTGAAAGGAGAGGAGGCGGGCCCTTCCGGGAGAGGGGAGGAGTTGTCCTCTTTGGACTCGTCAGAGGACGAATTCGAGTCTAGCTCTTCTGGCCATGCTTCTCTGGACACAGAAGATAAAAACAGTCGCCTACAAGAGGCGAGGCTTTCTCACGCAGTTGAGAAGGGGGACGATTGGGCGGAGCCATCCGCCTCTCACCGAGAGCAAAATACCCCCTACTACTGCACGGTACCTCGGGGCCGGATCACGGCCATGCAAGAGAAAGTGGGGAGCTTTATCGCAAACCACACAATGGGCCCCGGCTTCTTAGTGTTTGTGCCGGATCCAGAAGACACAGTCGTCTGGCCGGCTGGTACCAGTTATGATGGTGCCTGCTTTGGCTGCTACGAGGCGGCCATCAAGGCTGGGCTGCGCTTCCCACTACATCCGGCTGTTCAACGGATCTTGGATGGGTATGAGTTGGGGTTATGGCAGTTAGCCCCGAACTCCTGGGTCAACGTACTCGGCTATGTGGCCGGGTGCGAACTGCACGGGGTGGAGCCGAACTTCAAGGATTTCGCCCACATGAACTACCTCAGCCGGACCCCTAAGGCAAGCGGTACCGGCTGGTATCAATTGACGAGCCACAGGGGCTACCTCATGACGAGAGGTAAAGCAAACAAATGGAAGGACTGGCGGAGCACCTTCCTTATTATTGAGAGTTCAGACATAGAGCTGAACAAGCGCTT